GTTGAGATCACCAAGGGAAAGGTGAAGGTTATTCAAGATAGACTCAAGGATGCCCAAGATCGGCAAAAGAGCTATGCAGATAACCGTCGAAGGACGTTGGAATTTGAGGTCGGCGACGAGGTATTTCTGAGGGTGTCACCTTGGAAAGGGATCATTAGATTCCTCAGTCGGGGTAAGCTTAACTCACGTAACATAGGCCCATTCAAAACCATCGAAAGAATCGGGCTCGTAGCATATCGACTCCAGAGTTGGAAAAGATTCATAATCTATTTCATGTTTCTATGCTCAAGATGTATGTACGGGACCGTCACATATCCTTGAGAAACCACGAGTAGATATCCGAGAAGACCTACACTATACGGTGCAGCCGGTAAAGATCATAGACCGACAGGTGAAGAAGCTAAGGAGCAAAGATGTGCCAATGGTAAAAGTACTTTGGAAGAGTGATCGCGTCGAGGAGCAAACTTGGGAAGTGGAGACCCTGGTGAGGGAACAATATCCATTTCTGTTTGACTAGACACGTGGATTTCGGGGACGAAATCCCAAATAAGGGGGTAGAACTTGTAACACCGCCCCCAAGTATTTGTACCTAATCAAATTATATATTGAATCCTAAGAAATGAATAAACGCATTTTACGAGATTTGTAAATTCTTATCATTTGTTTTACATGAATAGTAAAATTCACGTGGGGCCCACACCAGAGGTGGGGGTCTCCTGATATTATCGGGACCACATATTATAATCATCTGGGCCTAGATAATATGTATATGGTGGTGGATATCCTAATCGGGCCGTGGGAAAGGCATAGGGTTGACCGGTTGGTCAAACGAGGTCCAATTATCAGTATCGGCAATTTATCAGATAACAACCCGAAGAGGAATTTCGGAGACTTCTAAATTAAAGTTGGGAAACGTATATTCATTCTAATGTCCAATAAGGATTGAGAACATGTGTTATATTTTATTTGACCCGATAAAATAAAATATAATTGAAACAGTCCGGAAAATACAACTTTCAGGGCCGATTGTACTCATCAGGACACAAATGGATGACTTCCCACATGAGTGAGGGCCACCCCACGAAATTACACACTCTATGAATGAATTGTGTGCTGTGAGACTCAAGTGGGGACTTATTGATGTGTGATGAAATGGGAGAGACAAAGTTGAAAGGCAATGGGTCCCTCCTCTCATCATTCTTTGGCCTTTGAGACAAAATTGGTCGATCAACACCCCTCCCATCCATTGTGCTCGACTCTCTCCCCAAAGAAGATGAAAGAAAGCTCTGCAAACCCATTGTTTCATAGCCAATTCGAGCTCAAGCAATAGAGGCTCAAGCAAGGAGATTAAAGAAGAAAAAAACATAGGAAAATTGTAAAGGATTAAGGTAATGACCTTATAATCACTTTTCCTCTACTTCCTATTTATCATATGACTTTCATATCATATAAAGTACCCCTAGGATTGTTATACATGTTTAGAAGTGTAGAATGAGGGGTTGAAAGGTAGTTGTAAGTCCAAGAATGGACTTAGAAGCCAAAGTGACCGGTTCGCCGGAAAATAACCTTTTAGAGGTTATTTGTATTAATATGGGTTGTATGATCATGAAACCTTGTTAGGAACTTGCATAAGGTGTTCCTAGCATTTCCACAGGGTTGGAATACTTCGCCGGAGTTTCGCCGGAGTTCAAAAAAACTCGTCGGAATTTCACCGGAGTTCAACCAAGAAGGGTAGAACGCATTAAAGCTTCGTTTGTGGTGAGAAGACGGCTTTGTGCTTTATAACTTTTGCGTGAGGCATGAGATTACCTAAATTAATCAAGTATATGCTTTATGAATTGATTAATGATATTAAAGTATGTGCTATGTCATGTTAAGGAATACAACATAGCTGAAAAGCATGATTTATAGGTTTGATTAGTGAAATCATTATAAATTGATATGTATGATGTTCTAAGGACCCAAATAGGTATATTTGGATTAAGGACGTCAAGTAGTACTTGCATGTAAAATTTCACGTTAATCGGACTTTGTTGGGCGGTCAAACGGGCGTTGACAGCCAAATCAACTGTTGTACACGACCGGGTATTGGAAAATACCCGACCGGGTATGTTCTGAAAACTGCCCCAGGGGTCGCTGCCTCCTATACCCAATCGATTATAGGTAGGTACTCGATCGGGTATGTATTGAAAATATGCCCCAGGGGCCGTTGCCTTCTATACCCGACCGGGTATAGGTTGGTACTCGACTGAGTATTGGGTATTACATCCAAACAGTCAGTTTTGAATGAGTATAATGTGGGGCGTTCAGATGAGAACCGTCCACGTTGATTATTAAGGATTATTATATGACTATAGGGCTAGGTATTGTCCATAGTTAGAGGAATGAAAGGTTAGTCATATCCAGGTTAGGGTTTAGTAAGGAATAAGGTTGGGGTTGAGTATCTCCGGGACGGTAAATGATCCTGAAACTCGGTTGGGGTTGAGTATCCCCGGGATGGTAAATGATCCTGAAACTCGGTTGGGGTTGAGTATCCCCGGGACGGTAAATGATCCTGAAACTCGGTTGGGGTTGAGCATCCTTGGGACGGTAAATGATCCTGAATCTCGGTAGGATATTATGAATGTAGGACGTAGCTTGTGAGCTAGGTATCCAGGAAATGAGTGATATAAGTCAGGTAAGAAGTTTATCTCTAAAAGACTCTTTAAGGTAAATGACCTACGGGTTAAGTATTTTATGAGTATATATACAGTATGTATCATCGGGTGGATGAGAGATATCTATATATATGTATCGCCCTATTTTTGGGTCTCGTGTCTCAAACATTAGTTATTCTTCATATAGCCTGCTTGTCACTAGTACTTCTATGGAGTACTGACCCTTCCGGGGGCCCTCACATTTTTCAGGTTAAGGCTAGAGTCCTACTACCTGCACCTTTGCCTAGGGTGACTGATCAAGAAGGAAGACGTGGTTCATGCTTCCATTCTTATTTAAAATTTATAAACTGCTCATGGATATTTGAACAATGTTTTCCTTTAAAACAGTTGGGGCCTGCGTGCTCATGTTTTCCACGTGTGGCTAAATAACAAACATATTATTTCCGTATTTGTTTGATTATGATATTGATGTTGATTGTATGTGTTTACTAATCAGTTTGGCAATAGAATCTATCGGACGCCTTGTATGATTCAATAAGGATGAACTAATGTTGTTCTTATCGAGTTGTACGGCGGTTGTCTACGTGGCTCGGATGTGGTCTGGGGCATGACAGTAAGAGTTTAAGACTCTGAATGGGATCGAGCTTTAATAGCAGAGTGTTAGCAATGCACTCTTGGAAATGCCCAACTATGAGAATGTTATTGTGTGGCCGCAATAAGAGAATAGGGGTTAATTCTCGATGACATTCTTGAGACAGGATCGGGACGCATGGCCGTAAAGTGTCAACCGTATAGATCTTTCCCATTGTTGTTAGTGTGTTGCTTTTATCCCACGCCAACACAATCAAGGTTCGAGTTCAAGAACTCTGTTCACTCAGTTCCTGTGGGGGTTAGGGGTAAGAGCTTAGAATTTGGTTCAAACCGGAAGGTACCATATTCGAAAGCACACTACGTTTAGCTTAGAGTTGAGTCTACAACTATGGATTTGTGGGGGATTGTTGGAAATATGATGATATAAATATTATTTTGAGGGTCACAATTTTTGTGCCCTAAAATATAATTGTATTAAATATGGAATGGAGGCGGATAATACATCAAAGAACAGCTTACATATTTGAATTTAAATTATAATTAGAATCCATAGTTGTAAAGATTGCATAGTGATGTATTAAAATATTGAATTTATTTGTTCCATATTAGAGGATAAATTGTCTCGTATGGTTATTTATAATCATTATATGATAAGGAACATTGTTCAAGTATCTTATGAGGTGATGTGACATTTTAATTTTTCACTTGCATGCCAGATGATGGAATTGATGTCGTAAATCTATAGACTCTAATTGTGTGAACAATATAATGTAATAGCTGATAGGATTTTTAAGTTGAATTCAAATTCAAAATAATTATCCTTAATGCTATTAATGAGATCATTACAAATGGATCCATTTTTCCGTTTCCTATCATGGTTTAATACGATTTATTTGATTTCCGTTAAAGATTGTACGATCTCTGCATGCCATACGTTTACCTCGTTGTTTCTAGATGCGTATATTACATAGGCCACTCACTGCATGAGATACGTTTTTTTTGTGCTCTTACGTACGAATTGAAGTACGTAAATCAATTTTGATTTGAGTGGATCTTTTCCTCCACTAGTTTTTCCATTCCAAGAGGAGTACATATAATTTATATATATTATATTTTTCACAGTTGTTCAAGTCTACTCTTTTACTTGGCATTTTGGAAACGGTCAGAGATTTCAGTCAAGGTAGTTACACGCCTGAAACGTGGTAGGATTATCTTGGGAGCAAGCTAGCCAGACCCGTCTGAATAGCTATCGGGATACGAGGGCTATCTTTCTTCAAGGCCAGTCCGTTCTTACGGGCGATCCTGCGATAAGTTTTCTTATTCTTTTCTTTATTCACTTTAATTTATTCTAATTATTATTATTATTTGTCCTTGCATTTGGCGGTTTGTCTGGTGATTTGTTTAAACTCGAGATTTTTATCTGGTTAAACTCGCATTTTAATATCAATTTTCTAACAATGCCTCATTAAAAACTTCAGTGAGGAAAAAACATTGTGGGAAAAAATCCTAACGGAGGAAAAAGAGTACACTCCGCTCTTGGGTGACTTCCAGAGGGAAGTTGACGCCCCACTGCAAAGGAAAGTGATCTTGAGCTTGAGCATCCGTGGTCGGTGGTCAGTTTGACTTTCATGTTCCTATATGTTAGCTACTACATCCACGGCCATGGTCGAGGGTTGATACAATTTTTTTAAAATTTCAAAGTAAAATTAACGAGCTCAGTATGAGTTGTACCTGTTTGGTGGTGTAACTGAGGTCGTTGTTGCATTCCGAGCTGTTCTCGATCTTTGACTTTTGGTCATTTAATTTTTGCCCGAGTCCTGCACTCTTGTGTACTTAGAGAGAATTTCTAAGTGTATAAGAGTATGAGCTTGAGAGGGATGATGTAGTGCCCTTAGGATAAATTAAAGTCTACATTTGCAAAATGATGTAGCGTGTAGTAACGTTGATGTGTACAATTGGAATTTATGAATATTCCTTTTTTAATTTTAAATTTATCAGCGGTTTTTGTCATTAAGACAAAACAGAAAGCACATTACAGAGCCTGAGCTTTTTGCACGCCTTTTTGGAGAAATTATTCAGTTTCTTGGGCAGTTGCTTTGTAGCCAGACACGTGTCCTCTTCCCGCTTACTTTTTAAGAGAAGTATTAAAGGTTGAAGCCTTCTTCTCTTTCTTGTGCGCTTTCAGTTATCTTGCTTTCTAACTTCTAGAGCTTCCAAGCAACTGTAGAGCCTCCGATTTCGTTCCGGCCAGAGTTTTCATCTTCCGACTTCGACGCTTTTTCCTTTTCACGAGTTAGATCTCGGGTCCCCCTTGTGTGTTCTTCATTTGTTGTTTGTCGTCGGGAAAAAAAATCCGGAAATGGGTTTTTCCCGTGGTTCTGGTTTTTTAGGCGGTAGGGTAACCCTAGTGCCACAATGGGGGTGTGGATGGTACTCCTTAGAATTGCACAAGCATGCTGATTTCGGGCTTGGATTTTTTATTTGGGTCGGATTTCGGTATGTTATCCTTGGATTCTGATTTAGCGTACTGTGTTGATGTTTTTGACAGATTAAGAAAGGTTTCCCAAAGTGACTCTGCTAACACTGGAGAGGGTCAACTGTGACCTACCCCTCGGGTATGATGATGATGCGGCTAATAGGGAGGCCGACATTGATAAGGAGGTCGATGACGTCGCCTCTGCACTTGACATCACTCCATTCCGCGTTGTTCAGGCTCAGAGTGGCTGGAAGAAGAAGAGATACGGTGACACCAAGGAAATTGGTGTCTTGGACGACAATAGCCCGATTGAGGGCCTATGCTCACTTTTTTATGATGATTGGGATGAGGTTCGCCATTTGGCAGGGCTTAAAACGAACATTGTGAGGCCAGAAGCTGGCAGCTTCCCCACTCATGCCCTCCCGGGTTTGTTGTGGTCCACAAGGACGCTTTGGACCATGGGTTTTGTTTCCCACTAAGGCCTTTTGCCAGGGACTATCTCAACTGGGTTGGACTGCTTCCCTGTCAGATTGCGCCCAATGGGTTTTACCTGATTGCTGGGTTTTTGCTGTGTTGCCACGAGCTGGAGTTGGGGGCAACTTTGGACTTGTTTTGCCACTTATTCCAGATCAGTCTTAACCCCTCGAAGAGGAACCAAGGCTATGTGCTGACATTGCTTAAGTGGCTAGCAGAAGTGGGTTTCATAACACCCCTACTTCCCACCGTGGGTGGAAAAACGGGTTTGTGTTTATGTGTACCAACAGGAGGGACGGGTTCCCCTTCACTGCTGAGGGCTCCAACACTTTCAGGAGGCATAATGCCGGGGAGCTGGGGTTACTTGCTGACTCGGAGCAGAAGTATGTTGACTTCGGTTACCTAGAAATCAAGAGGTACGTGACGGAGCCGAAGCTGAGAAAGGATCTAGGCTATGTCTTCTATTCCACCATCCACGCTTTTGATGATAGAGAGGCCGGTGGTAGTGGAGCTGGCACTGGTGGCTGAGTTGCTGAGATTGATGTTACTCATGTTTAGGCCAGTAGGGAGGAAGCTGATATGGCTGCTACTATTGCAACTTCTCTTGTTGATGGAGAAACGGATGCTACTAATGAGCCTGCCTTTGGGGTGTTATGGTCCCAAGAGACAGAGGAAGAGATTGAAGAGGGGTTAGTTAGCCCTCAAGAGAAGAAGGCATCAAGGGGATGCCTCTGTTGCTGATCAGATTGTTGAGCAGCCCACAATTATTGTTGTTGTTGCTAATCAAGGGGGCACACATGAGTCCCTTAGGTGATATGAGCCCTCCTCATGGTAGGGCTCCGCTATCTAGTCAGGTATAAGCTCCGGTCTCCACATTAGGTAACTGTTTGTGCCCCTTAGTCTGTGTTCATGTTGTTCTGTTGATGTGGTATGTGCTTTGTACTTGGTTGTTTCTCTATTTTTTTGTAGGTTGCCTCTTTATTTTTGAGTTGCTGGACCTTGCTCAAGGGAAGAATAGGAGGAAAAGGAATTCCTCTGAGGGGGTGAAAGAACCTGAATCCTCCCCCAGTGGCTCCTCCTCTTCCTCTTCAGAGGATGCTAAGGATGTTGCAAGGTAGCCTGACGCTGAACCAGAGGGGGATGATGATGAAGATGCCAAGGATGTTGTTGGGCATCCTGGCGCCGAGCCAGAGGGGGAGAATTCCCTATAGAAATCATTCCCTGTCGGTGGGGTCACCGGTGGTGCCCAGGTTCCGGAGGTGACCATGGAGGCTATTCAACAGCCCCATGTTGAAGATACAGTTGTTGCCTCTCCCCATCAACCAGACGTGGTGATGGTGGAGAGTGACCATGATGATGATGCTGATGAAGAGGGCAAGGATGAGGAGACCTAGCTCAAGAGAATGCTCAACCTAGCTCTGGTGCTGACCAGGATGATGGGCAGCCCAGTGATCAGGAGGCTGGTCCCGAGAACCAGAAGTTCAAATACTACATGGATCATGAATGCAACTTTGTTGCATAAACAATCCATGATATGGATTTCATGACCAAGATTCGCCCGCATTCTGATGACGTAATTTTGAGTAAGATGTCCACCAAAGCAATTGCTGATGACTTCGCTGTTGGTGTTCTCCGAGTAAGTACTTTTAACCATTTTCCTTCGTTTTAATTGTTTTCATGTTTTGTGTTGTCTTCCTGTCGTACTCATCTTGAGATTATTTATTCACATGCTTCCTTCTTGGGCCATGAGCTTGCTCACAGGGCTCATGAGGCAGAACTTCGGGCCAGGAGGGCTGAGAAGAAGGAAATTGGCCTTCACCATGATAGGCACGAGGCAAGGCGCTCTGGACGTTGCTCAGTTGCGTATAATAGAGCTTGAGCAACGGGAGCATGAGCATGGGGCCACGGCAGACCCAGCTATTGACCAAACTGCCAGGGCCCTGGAGTGCTTGGGTGAGGCCGAGTGCGGGACTATTGAAGTTGAGGAGTGGGTAGCCGCCCTTGAGTCAGAGCTCAAAGAATGCCATGCTCAATTTAATGCCCTCAAGGTCACCGCTGACGAGGCCGTGAAGGCCTTGATTGAAGCGGAGGAAAATGCCATGCGCTCTGAGCAGAGCTAGGAAGGCTTAGGTGAGAGCCTTTGATGCTGAGGAGGAGACCGTTGTCTACATGTCTGAGTGGAAGAAGATGACTGATCTCGCCAAACATGTGAGTGATGATAACATCGAGCTTCACAAAACGGTCAACGAGCTTATTGACAATGCCAACTCTTAGCTCGTGAGGTGGAGCAAGTAGTATAAGGGATACTCGCATAAGAGACAGACTAAATCTAGAAAATTCTTCCCTAAATTACCTCTCTGTACTCTCGCTAAAATTACTGACAAAATTAATCACAAAATCCTTGAAGTTAAGGCAACACACACAATTAATCTTGCTCCTGATCAGAATGACTTGTGAAGGTGATGGTGAATAGTGAAAAAGTCCCTTCTTTGAGAGTTTGGAACAACCTGATAGTGACTCGATGCATTCAAAAGTTTTGGGGCTATCATCTATCGCTATGCAAAGAGTGGACACGGTGTACGACTAAGCTAAACTGTCACTGCACATTGATGCTTTGACGTATATTTGAAGTGCGCGATGGACTAATGTAAAAGATGTACAAGCCTTCAAATCCAATCCAATTTAATTCAATTTGTTTTCCTTGTCATGTTGGCACGAGAACGTCATTTCTTTCGAAAAATTCCCAAGTCTAATCTTAGTTTGCAAAAAACTTACGCTTTTTGATCGGGACTCTCATTCTCTTTTTCGCAAGGTAAGAGGTCTAGCTATATTAATTAATTATTTTTTTCATTTTTCAAATTTTCACTAGACATTACCCCATTCTAATATCGGCCTCACCAAAGAAAATTTTGCAATTTAAGGTTCATTAAAAAGGTGAATCCATGTCTACGATGCAATTCTCGAAAATATCAAATTTCTAAAAAATGACTGCTCTTACCATTTGGGGCATAGGAATGGTGCCAAAATTGGCTCCTACAAAACTCCCTAAACTTAGTACATTAATCTCCTAGCACCCTAAACACCAAAACACTGTCAGGCTCATCTTATAGGCAATAGAGCTCGCAAAAGAACAGAAAGTCGAGCTCAAAATGGCTTTTTCTAAAGGACTTATTCAGGTGGGATGGGAAGTACTGAATTAAATGGGTAACTAATGTCTTCTTCATCTCAACAGCAAGATTAAAGGTGTAAGCAATTTAAGCAAAAAATATTTAAAAAAAATAGCACAGTCAAAACTCTAGCCAGCTCACAAGAAACAGTTTAAAGAAAAATTTTACAAAAATTTTGACAAGACTTTTCTACAAATATACAATTAAGACCTGCACATGCTAACACTAGTAATCTCACGTAGCAATTACTGCTCGTAGCAATTTAAACTTTGGCATCACCCTCAATGACAAAAAATGCAATATGAACTAGGGGTAAAGAGGAATTCACTAGCTCAAGTCAACAAATCAAACAGCACATCATCGACCGCGCTAAAGATCAAGCTGCAAACACAAACACAAAGCAAAGCAAAACAAAGCATCCAAACAAAGAAGTACAGAGTAACACCATAAGTGCAGACTATATCATCCTAAGTGTGGTGACCAGAAGTGTAATAATAGGGGTACATCATCAAATGCTCAACTCGTCTACTGGGGAGGGGGAGGGGTGGGTACTGGTAATCTGGAAAGTGTCTGCTCCAGGGAGGATAACCTCGTCTTCACGCATCTGCGTGAAGAACTGCTCCTGCCTCTAATATAGTCTGGTGTAAACGTCCTCCTAGTGCCGATGCATCCCCTCCCAAGGGGGCATATAGCCATGGGGCTCATCCCTCCAGGCTCCAGCTGCTGCTCCCTGCTCATCCTCGTCGCCATCGCCTGCATCTCCGCCCTCCTCCTCAACGAGCACCTCCGGGTTCAGAACAATCTTCTCCGGCGGGGCTGTACAATCAATCGGCTGAAACCCCTCCAGCCCCGCCCTTAATGGGGCTGCCTTCGGATAGTAGAGAGTTCCAATGGACTTGGTGTAGAAGGTCCGGAAATTGATCTCCTGAACATCGGTCTTGGACTGGACTTGATAAAGTCCAGCTTCTGATTCCGTTGTCGTCCCCCGGCTACTGCCGACCTCATCATCGTTTCTTGCCCTCTTTGCTATTTGCTTGATCTGAGGCATCTACAAGAAGAAGAAACAATAACCAATTCCAAGTTTCCAACGGGGCTTCGAAACATTAGGCACAATATTCAAGAATCAAGAACAATAGCCCCATTAGCAATGTCACCATGCAAGCATATATGTCACAATACAAGCATTGACACTAGCAAATGTCTAATCAAACTCAAGTTTAACTTCTTTTTTTGAAAAGCAACGGTCAACATCCTTGAAGTGAGATTGGATTCGAACTTGTGACCTCTTTGAGAGTTTCGTAGTGATGCAATCATACCATAAGGTACTTCAGCCACCTTCTCGGCCATCAATTCTTCATGATTTCGCTAAAGAATCAATTAATTATAGTTATTAGGTGAAGAATATAATACAAATATATATTTATTTCATAAATTTCTTACTGTTATCTCGGCAATACGGGGAGGTGGTGGCCCAGATTTTGGAGTCAAACAAGTTGTCAACAGGATATATTTACTCACTTTCTTCTTCCACTTTTCCCCTATATAAAATTAAATTAAATTGTTAAATATTGTAAGCATTTATAATTAATTTAGAAGGCATATTAGTGGGATAATTTACCAATTTTTATGGTCAAATGTGGTAGAACGCTCGCCATGCCATTGGGTCTCCTTTGCGTTTGGGCAGTTCCTTTTCTTCTTCCCCGATTCGCTGTATTTTTTAAAAGTTGCATTGGATTCTCAATATTCCAAAAGCGCTTTCCAAGCGTTGTCCGAGACCCATCCCGGCTTGGCATTTTTAAACCGGGCATGGGAAAATGTAGAAATGAGCCAACTGTTTGCCCGGGAATATATGGATTTCCTAATCTCATCTAGCTCATTGCCTCATTCGGATCCCACATATAATGTCAACATGCCAAACATGTCATTCCGGAGCTTTTTAGGCATTTGTCCATAAGAGGCACATGGATCATTCGGATAATGTCCGGTGACAATTCTGCGGTTCTGCCGATTGTTGATAAGATTGTGTCATCTTTTTATAAAAATAAATATTTAAATTAATTGATTTTTACGTATCAAATTATTTTTACTTTAATTGAGAATTAAAATTAAAATTTATCTGCTAAGTTCTTCAGTCGTTACCAGTCGTCTATTATTGGGCTGCTCAATATGAGGATGTAAAGAGCTCCCACCACCACCACCCCCATAAACATGAGAGACTTGAAAAGACCGGGGAGTGTCAGGTTGCCCCGAATTCTCAATCGACATAGCATCATTTTTCGGGTCAACATTCGAAGTACGATGATCCTGAGGAGTTCAGCCTCGACCTCAACCGCGATTAGGGGTTGTAGATAAATGTTTATCCTTTTTTCGAATCTTTTGGGCCGGGACAAATTAAAGACAAAATTTTGAAATGACTCTTCATGCACATATCAGGTGGAAGATTATATGGAGTTAACATGATCTGCGAACATGAAAACTTGCTTCCAAACTGGCCATACGGAGCAAAACCGTCTGAACATAATCCCAAATGAACATTACGAGACTCCATTCCAAACTGAGGATGACAATGGTGGAAGTATTTCCATGTTTCACTATCTGAAGGATGACACAACAATCCTTCTTTAGTTTCATGCTCGACATGCCATGTCATGTATTTGGCAGTAGCGTTTGAAATATATATTTGTTTCAATCGTATAGCTGGAGGGAGGTAAAATAATTTGGAAAGTGCAGACCTCTTCCGCGGTTTTTTACGCCTTTGTGGAAGAGGTTTGTATCTATCCAATCTACAAAACTTGCAGCTAACTAGTGTATCATCATCCTTTCAAAATAACATGCATCCAGAAGGACATGCATGAATTTCTATAATAGGAAGCCCCAATTGAGAGATTAATTCTTTCATGTCATAATATGTAATCGAAAGGCTATGATCACGCGGTAACATCCCTCCGACAGACACCAACAATCTAGACATGCAATTTTCAGAAGGGCTATATTCAGATTTTATGTATAACATCTCTGAAACTATCGATAGTTGAGAGTGACCATCCCAGTCGACATAAAGAGGTTGATCGACTGCTTTTAAGACATCTTGGAATCTTTCTTCCAATTCATCAATATAAGGAACATAAGAGCTTGAATCCTCATCACTATGAGGGACAATAGAGCTCGAGCCTTCAGAAGGATTATTTAATGGTTCATTAGGGATAAATTGTGAGGTTGAAGCAACAAAAATATCATAGGGCATTCGATGGTCCATGACATTTGATCACAATATCTCCATTCACCCATTTCATTAGGATCATGACGAGACGAACGTGCTGTTTGTGGCAAAAGCTAGTGATGCGTCAAATGGTTCGTCTTGAGAAGTCCAATTATAATAATTGTCAACAAAGCCTCTCGTGTACAAATGCCACATCACATCATCACTTTCTCGAAATTTAATATTCTTATACTTCGTGCAACGACATGTTATTTTATCACCATCATTATATCGTGTTTGTCCTCTTGCAAAAGTGACAAATTCACCAACGCCAGTAAGAAATTCTTGCCGAAAACCTCTATTTTCGTCATGTCTATCATACATCCAATTTCTAATTTGTCTATTCATTATACCTGAATATATTTGATGTATTATATTAGAAACAAAACTAATTCATTGCAACACTAACATTCATTACTTAAAGTTAATATACATGCAAAAAGCTAGCTACATGAAATTAAACAATAATAAATGAATTAATCTATTATAATGATACAATTATTTAGCAACAAAAATATCTATTATTTATACATGTTATTGTACATCCAACTTCTAATTTGTCTATATATTTGATGTATCATATTACAAAATAGCTTCATTAATATACTAACATTGAATACTAAAAGTTAACATACATTCAAAAACCTAAATCCATGAAATTAAACGATAATATATGAACTAGTCAACTATATATCATGATACAATTATTTAACGACATAAATATCTATTATTTAATTAAAATGATTTATTATAACAAGTGTTAACTGCCAAAAAATGTACTACAAAAAATAATAATGAAAATTAATTAACACACCTTATTTGGAAGACGTATTCGGCTCAATAAATTCATCCAATTTCATTATTTGGATGACTACACAAACACATTATAATACTCTCTGTAACACTACAAAACATAAGAATGGTATCAAACTAACTAAATTGCCATGTATATCTAGAAAACTTTGTCACAAAATTTGTCATGGATTTTATCCGTAAAATTTCAAACTATAACATTTGTCATGGATTTTGTCAGAATGTGTAACGGTCGTATTTCTATTTGTAACAGTAACTTTAGTCACGGAAAAATTCATGACAAACATAAATTATATAAGAGTAATTTTTTAGTTAGTTAGGGATAATTTCCGTGGCAAAAATCTATTTTCATATTTGTCTGGAATTATATCCATAACAAAACAAAATGGGCATTTTGTCAGAGATTTTATCCATGAGAAAACCAAACGGCTACTTAGACTCGTTTTTTTTGTGAGGGATCAAATCAAATTGCTAATTCCGGCAAAACCAACCCTGTCGGCAACATTTGGATAGCGATGTTGTCACCGTTTTTTCGCTGACTAAATTTGCCAGGGATTTTTCTGTGACTATACTATTTGACCGATTGTTTCTCAGAATCCCTAACAAAATCTCTGACAAGGTCTGTTAGGGACGATAACCCTGACTAATATCCGTGACAATATATATGTCTTCTTAGTGGGATGATATTTTTGCCAAAATAATTAATTAGTGTACATCCTTTAAATTTTGTTACTCCCTAACACAATTTGAATGAATGTAGTCAACTATAATCTTAATTAGCACTTAGGGGTTTTCCACTTTTCCATACCGATTCTTAAAATTAACGTTGTAGACAAAGTTGATAAAATAAACTCTACACTCTATTGTCAAAGTACTTGATGAAAAAATTACTTGAAAAAAATTGGGATTTTGTGTTGAAAACTTTTAGGAACAATACTAACATTAATACAATTTAAGCTATGATGAAAAACGTACTTAAAACATCTAATAAAATGAAAAGTATTAATTTTTCTCTGCCGTGACAAATTCTCTAAAAATGTAAGGAAGTATTAAATTATTAGCATATCTGGATCTTAGTGAAATAAAATATCCAAAATCCACAATATAGAAAAAATGTAAAGCGGAATTTAAATATTAGGGAATATTAATTTGATACCATATTAATCATGTCGTAAAACTTACAAACGCCGCGCCACAAAAAGGTCCTCTATAAATACTACTTATAAGTATCCACACCTTCACCATGTTTATCTCAATATTGTATTCAACCAAATATTATATTGATTTTAACTTTTGAGAATGTCTAGCACCAATGAGAATAAGAGGGTTAGTAGGGGACGACAAAGGATCCCTCTCATGAAGATCGAGAATGAGATCAATCGCCAAGTAACATTTTCAAAACGTCGTTCCGGTATATTCAAAAAAGCTAGTGAGTTGTCAACTTTGTGTGGTGTGGATATTGCTATGGTGGTATTTTCACCTGCAAATAAGGTTTATACTTTTGGAAGTCCGAGTGTCGACATTGTACTCAACAAATACTTTGGTGAAAATTCTACACCAGAGGCTGCTGTGATAGATGAGATTCTTCGTGCACGTTCTCAAGACAATATGAGTGTCATTACACCCCAAATAAGCGAAATGGAATCTCTTGTTCATGAGCTAATGAAAGAAAATCAAGGTCACTGTGAATCTAAAAAATGTAGACCACGTATTTCAAATCTACAATTACACGAGTTGGAGGATATAAAATATAGCTTGGAAGCACTCCGTACTCAAACTTATGAAAAACTAAAGCAACCCTTGATGCAAGTTAAAACTCATGACCTAGCCACTCCAATGGATAGAGGTAGCTTGTTTGGTCCCTTCCCATCATATTTTCGAGTCAATAATGATGGTTGTGGACCAAGTGGAACTAGCTAGTTCATAATTAAAATGGTTCTTTCACCATCATGCACGGATGAGGAGAGTTATTTTCTGAATTCATATTCCATTTGAATTTCTATGTTATGTGTGATTGTCATCAATAAAATTATCTCTACAATATTTTTCTGCAGCAATTATATTTTGCATTTGGAGGGGTTAATACACGTTATTTTGTATATACAAGTTGTATACGTAGTATGTGAGCAAGCTCCCCTTTTAGACTACAATTGGCAGGACAATAGAATGTCCTCAACACACAAACCTGGCCTGCCAAACGAAAGTATGTTGAGTGAGGATAAGTTAGTGATAGATGGACTGTGCTTTAAATTTTAAGAATTTACTAAATGTTTAACATAAAATTTCAAAGGGAACTTGGTATAAATAGAAAAAGGTGTAACTTTTTAAATTTAAAGGAATGAAAGCCAGGCATTTTGGTCAGTACACTTGGTCTGCAATACAATGAGAGAAGTTCTGAAATCTATTACTGATGCTAACCAATATTTCAGACTTTTAGCAAGTAGGTTGGTCGAAAAAGGAAAATACCCAGAAAACTACAAAATCTAACTATGTTGCCTTCTAAAAATATATGCAAGGTTAAAAAATACGAGCTCAGACCAGCCCTGCTTTTAGTGTTTATACTGACACAATCAATATATATACTCCATTCGTTTCTGTTTTATCTTCCAAATAGATTATGCACACAATTTAAGATAGTGGGTATTGTGTGGTGGAGAGTTGTGCAGAGAAGAGAGAAATGTGTAAGAAATGTTGTAAACCACAAATTCTTTACTAAAAAGGGAAAGTGGAAGTTTTAATTGGAACGGACGAAAAACGAAAGTTGGAAGTTTTAATAGAAACGGAGGGAGTATATAAAAGAGGAACTTTTTAAGAGCATACAAAGCGCCACATAATCATGTCATGTCATTATATATAACAATTATTTACTTATTTTTATATCTTTTGTTTTTATTAGATTCTATTTTTGATTGCATATTGATATGGAAACAAAAATCCTTATAAATTCATCTTAATTAATTTGGTAAGCTTCAAATAAGTAAAATAATTTTTGGTTATCAAAGTGAAATTCTAATAACGTTTATTGATATGGAAACTAATTTATATTAGTTTACTACACAAAATTAAACAGAAACAAATATGCAAATTAGTTTACTTATTAATTTGACACCTATTAATAAATTAGTAAGCTTCAAATAAGTAAATAATTAAAAATGAAATTAAAATTATAACCAACATAAAGTATGTATATTTTCACAAGTAAATATGTTTAGCTTAGCCAAATAAGTAAAAAAATTGTTTGTTTCTTTATTTTACACCTAAAATTCAAATATGTCTTCACTTTTGAAATAGATTCCTAATCCAAATTAGAAAACATTTATAGGTTTACGAATTCCAACTTTTATTTTAATAGAATTTTTTTAATTGGATTGATTTCAGTTTCAGATTAAATCAGATCAGATCAAACTTTAATAATTATAACAATAAGTCACATAAAAAACAGACCTCTAATAGACCATATTAATTCATACCAAATCAAACCCTAAATTTTAATTCAATTAAAAACGTTCTTATCAATGAGTAAACTGTAAGATCTAACAATTAAGAATTATCGATTTTTTTTTATTATTATGTTCATAACAATTATGTTTACTTCTTATGTAGAATACCAATTTAACTTTTTTTCATATATTTTTTTCTTTGTTTCACAAATGGAATATATTTCACATATATTTTTCATGATTCAGAAGATTCCACCTATTTGACCAGAATTTAATCAATTTCAGTAAAATAAGTTAATTCTATTTACTTTAGTATTATCAAACAGACTCTATATTAGACTAAGTTTATTTTTGTTTTAAATCACATTATATGTGATCCGATAGAAATTAAATTTCAAATTAGCTAAATTACATACTGCTCGTGCATATGGATGGACTCGGGTCCGGGCCGGGTCCGGGTCGGGCCTAGGCCCGGGCGGGCCGGCGGGTCAGAAATGGTGGACCCGGGACCGGCCCGGGTAACCACCGGGTCCGGTCCGGGCCGGGCTGGGCCCATTGTATTTTTTTTTTGTTTTCCTCTTCCTAATTAACCCCCCTCCCACCCTCAATCCCCCAAACCACCCCCAAATGGTCCAAAATACCCAGTCCAACCCGAAAATTTAAAAAAAATTGAAAAAAAAAATAGTTTTTGGTCCGAACCGGGCCCGGGCCCGGCCGGGTCGGGCCTTGTTTTGGGTGACCAGAGCCCGGACCGGAAAACCCACGGGCCGGGCCTACCCGGACCGGTCACTGACCGGGCCACCGGGTCGGGCCGGGCCAGAACAGTACCGGTCCCGGGCCGGTTCCGGGTCAGGCCACCCGGCCCGAGTCCATCCATACCCGTGCATCGCACGGGCTTGAAAGCTAGTTATGTTTTAATCCTAAGCTTCAAGGACGTTTAATCTTGCTCCTAACAAATGTCCAGGATACGCCATTGGCTCTTGAAGTTCCTATAGTCAATGGTCTCTTCCCATCTTCCTAGTTTGCTATTGCCAACTTTGGCAGTCTGGCTTTTCTATGGTACATTGGTACATACTTGGGAATATGATGAAATAAAGCAAAATGACTCTCTAATCTGTATGCTCTTCTTTGTTATGAAGCAGCAGTCAGTCCATGCAATTTTCGACGCGATTTTCACCATGAGTCATCCGGAAACAGTCTCCATGTGATTTAGTACAGGGATAAAGTTGCGCACATCCGACCCCCTCTACCCCACCGTAGGTGTGAGCTTTTGCGGCACTAAGGTAATGATGATGAATGATTGGTACATACTTGGCCTGTTGTACTTACTATGAATAGGAATAGAGAAAGCATTATTTTTTTTGGTAATGGCTTATTGTATACCAGCTGCTGTATGAGCTTACTATGAATAGGAATAGAGAGCATTATTTTATGCCCCAATGGCTTATTGTATACTAGCTGCTGTGCGAGCTAGTAAGTTCAATACAATTACCAAATCCAAGAGGTTCTAATTAATGTGATCTGCTTCTTCATTCCAGATTCTATAAGCACAAACATCATTCGCGTGTCCAAATATATCATCACCCTGAAGTGAAATTCTTTAACCTAAGCTAATAGAGAACCTTCCATCACCACAACAGCTTTTCCTTGCAGAAATACTCTATTCTCCTCCTCATCTATACGCACGTTCATCACACCACTTCTAGGTGATGCCTGAACCAAGCAAAGATCCAAGTCATTACGCTAACCAACTTATGCGCAGATAGAATTCTAAAATTGAGGTATACCGCATAAGAATTTAAATTGTTTTTCTTCAGCAGCTTGTGCCAATAGGAAGCCAATGCACAATGAGCAATTCCACAAACAGGATCCTGAAAAAAGGCAAAAGTGTAAACCAACACCAATCGCCTATAAGTTATCCTGCAACAACAAAAAAAATAGGTACCACTATAACTGGAAAGGAATAACTTTTTGTAGCATCTCAGGCTTGTTTGGTTCGGAGATTTCAAAGATAAGGAGAAAGAAGGATTGATTTTCACTCTATTTATCTGAACTTGTTAAAATATACTAAAAATAACTCAATGAGTAGTTGGCTTGTGTGATTGTATATAGTATATTTATCCACTATATTTCCAACCATTTACATGTAAAAAGAAACTAACAAATTAAATATCACCACTACCTTTCCCTCCAGATTCCCCTGAGCAAATATGTTGTTTAAGGGTTTGAATCACATTACATAGCACCAAAAAGACCAAACAAGCTGGGTAATCCTTGATCAGATTTGAATCCCATAATAAGGGACCCACCCCTGAAACAAAGCCCCCCCAAAGCAGTATTTGATTATGATTTATGAGACATATTTCTCCCATTACCTCTGGAATTCCCAGTTTGGGGCAAAAGAAGCGGCAGTAAAAATCAAATCCAGATCCTGGAGGACCGGGTCCTGTAACAATTACTCCTCTGCCAGTGCATTTTTGTATTTCATCAATTTGTGGTTGTAATCCTGCAACTGCATCGCCTGACTGGAGCACAACCTGCAGGACACAAACCATAATCGTAACTTTATTTAGTACATAGCATGTGCTAAAGCTTATTAATTAAGTGCTTACTGCCGTGCATTTCTCCCATGACCACTTCAGTATACCCTCCTTCCTGTATTTAGTTTATGACATTGTGTTGTTGAAAAAGTAAACTCAACCATAATGACATTAAATTAATATTAATAACTGAATTTTTATATTTAGAAATTGAACTAAAATATTATTCAGCTGTAAAAACTGAATTCAAATGTGATAACAGAATTGGTATTTAAAATCAGTTCTAAAAGTGAGTTAAGCTGACTGTATGAATAATGAATCAGAACTTTATTCTAGAACAGTCAGAGTGATTCTTTTTCTATGGTATCATTTCATAATATGACAGTGCAGTTCTTCAGAGAGTTCGTAATTTCAACTACTCCCTCCGTCCTGGAATTATCTTCATTCTTTCCTTTTCCGTTCGTCCCAAATTTATCTCCTTTTTCCTTTTTTGGCAAAGAATTTGTGGTTCACAACCATTCTTACACATTTCTCTTTCCTCTGCACAACTCTCCACCACACATTTCCCACTATCTTAAAAACCGTGCCCGTGCCCAGTCAAATAAGGAGATAATTCCGGGATCGAGGTAGTACCTACTAATGGGGTAGTACATAAGATGGACACACTTATCAGGCTCACTTGAATACCAGCAAGTCTATGACATAAATGAAATGCAGCTTAGGGAAATTGAAAATACGTACAATGAGGTCATCCCTGTCGGTCTTCTTTATCTCAACCACACATGCTTTGTCAAAGTTTTTCGCAATTGTGGGAATCTCAGATAAGTTGGTCTCCAAGACATGAATAATTGGAAAGTTCAACTCAACAAAGAACCCTCCATCCTTTTCTGGAACTCTTTTAGCAGTTAAGATCCCAGATAAGGTACAGAACTCAATAACATCAGTATTGACAAAGCCATTAACAAACAGGAAATAGGCAGCTGCTAGAGTGGCATGTCCACATAGATCTATCTGCAACCAGTATGACATTTCACAATCCAATCACATCATTTATAACAGTTATGTCAACAAATATCCATCTCAATAAAAAACTGATTCAGATCAAACACGTAACATTGTTTGCATCTACTGTATGCTCTAACCAGTGATTGTGATTTGTATAGTTATATGACATGAACGCTCAATTACAGTAATATCTTTAAGATAATGAGTAGGTGGAGATGACCTCGGCAACGGGAGTGAACCAGCGAAGACGGAACTTGGAGCTGTGAGGCTCCGGGTCAATGATTCGAGTCAGGTAACAGGTCTCTGAAATGTTGAATTCCCTAGCAACAGCTTGCAGCCACTCATCGTCTTTTTCTTCTTCTAACAAACAAACAGCCGCCGGATTTCCTTTGAGAGGCAAATCCGTGAACGCGTCTACCTGTACAGAAAATCCGAAAATGTCTCGGCTCTTGTAGCTATGTAATATGAAAGGCAGAGAGGGTGAAGATGGCATTGGAGATTACCACACTGTACTTTACGGGCATCTTCGCCGCCATGAGGACTGGCCGAGAAAGGAATGGATGGATGGCTGCCCCCAGTAGTGTCACGTTTGTAGATTAGGCTGCGAATTACTTGTTTGATTAAATTTGAGGCAAGAAATTCAAATTAAATGGACACATGACTACTACCTCGTGAGAAATGAAGTTCTCATTATTCACTTAAAAGTTAAAACTTAAATTACTCTTAATCTTTTATTTTATATATCAATTTTTTATCAAATTTAATTTTTCTTGATCAGGTTTTATAGTAGTTGTAATGTAGTTTCTGAATATATAAATTTTATTTACTAAAAATAATCTGAGTGTGAACATATATCGAGTTGTTTTATCTACACTCAAACATCGTAAACCGAAACGAGAACTTCTTTACGGGATGGAGAGAGTATATTTTAAAGAAATAATTACATACTTATGATTAAAATAAAAATTGTTTACAAAAATGTGACTAATGACTAAAATAATAATGGAATTATAGTAACATATATTTAATTTTTAAACTTTAGTTACCATGATACTACATTATAGTAACTATTAGTCATATTTTCGTAAATAAGTTTTACTTTAGTAATATTTTTATAAAAACCCTATTTTAAATACATAGTATAATATTTTCATAATTCAATTGTTTTAGCAAGAATTTCTACAATCTGATTTGGTTTGACTTTTAATCGTAAAACGGCGGCTTTTATATTAAAATCAAGAACACATGCAAAACAATCTTCAGACAGATTTTACAGATCTCATCGTGAGCCCTAAGAGTAGACATAGAGTCAATCACCTCATACAAAGTAACCTGACTCGCTAAACCTGAAATGGGCAAATTTAAGCCTATCAAAAGAACTCCAAAAATCAAAACATCCCAATCAAACCTACTCAAACTGAAATAAAAATAAGTACTACTAAAGAGAAAATAATATTGAAATAAACTCTTTCCACAAAACTCTTCCTGATACTAAGGTGGTTCCGGAGGAGGACGAACTCTTGCAATATGGGTGAATACTAATTCAACCAACAAAGGCTGCACGATCCAGCACTGATACAAACTCTCAGCCACAACTTGTTCATCTGTCAACGTTATCTCCTCCGACGTAGTTGCAATCCCAAACGTTAGAACTCTTAAAATCAATACTAGTGTAACAACTGGGGGCAATGCCCTGGTGGTGTCATTATAATTATAAGTATTAAATTCTTAAATATCAATAGAAATTTTTAAATGAGTGCAACAAATTGAAGTTTATCGTTATTCACATATTCTTCTCTGAATACGCTTTATTTATTAATGTGTTAATAAATTATTTTAAAAAATTGTTAAATTCATCTCATTTTAAATTTTCAAAATCTTATTTATTTATTTTATTAATAGAAAATTATACTAGTATCCATTAATGGTCAAAGTTATACACCGGCAAACACGAAAAGTAGATTATCATACTTAGTTAAGAACGGAGGAAATATAAAAGGTGAAAAAGTGAATCATTTTCTCATCCAGGAAAAAGTCAAAAGTGAGTAAAAGGGGGCCAAGCCTAAAACAACCATTTTTATTGTTCATTAATGTTAATTTCTGTTAATTTTTTCTGAAATATTTATTGAATCCAATGGTCGTTCAAATTCTCACAGTTTTTTTGAAATTTGCTCAGTTAATAATGAAAGCAACCGTCTTCAATTAAATTGAGTCCCTACATAGAATAATCTATATTTTTTCAATATTTCCATGCACCCTAATGTATAAGAGTATGTAATATATGGAATAGATGTACACATTACAAATGTTTCGTAGCAATCGGCAAGCTTCAATTTTAAGAGAGTGTTTGCGATTATTTTTACTTAAAAAAAGATTTTTTAAAGTAATTTTATCGGATAGTAAAAAAAAGAGATTTTAGAAAAATTTATTAATAGTACATGGGGGTGAGCACGTCGGCCATCAGCTCCGTGCTCATCCGCGAGGACGAAGGGGTGCAGAAGGTCATACTCTACATCAGCAAAACACTCAGGGAGGCCGAGCTCAGGTACTCCCCCATTGAGAAGACGGTGCTAGCCATCATCCACACGGTGAAAAAGCTGGGGCACTACTTCCAGGCCCACGCCATCCACGTATTGACCCAGCAGCCCCTTGGCACGCTCATGAGGAGCCCCACTAGCTCCTCAAGGATGGTGAAATGGGCGATCTTCCTCATCCAATTCCAAATTGAGATCAAGCCAAGGCCATCTATCAAAGGGCAAGCCTTGGCCGACTTTGTCACCGAATGCACAGCGAGGGAGACGACCATTACTACCCCCGGGCCAGAGCCAGATGACGCGTGGATCTTGTTCACCGACGGCTCGTCGGCCGCGAAATCATGCGGGGGCGGCATCGTCCTCATCTCCCCTGAAGGATTCCGAGCTTACTATGCCATCCGTTTCAACTTCAGGGTGTCCAACAACGAGGCCGAGTATGAGGCCCTCCTCAGCGGCCTCAGACTTGCCGCCGCCCTCAGAGCCAAGCACATCAGAATCAAGTGCGACTCCAAATTGGTGGTAGGCCAGGTTGAGGGTACGTACGAAGCAAAGGAAGGCCGGATGAAGCAGTACAAACAGGCGGCAAAGGAGTTGCTGAAAGCGTTCAAAACCCACGAGATCACACAGATCCCAAGGGCCGAGAACGCCGAGGCCGACATCCTCTCCAAGCTCAGCTCGGATACTCCAGAGCACATCTCCAAATTAGCCAAGATCGAGGAGCTAAGCATGTCCAACATCCATGTCAGTCCCATCTTGTGCATCCAACACCGGCCGGAGGACTGGATCTCCGACATCACCACCTTCATCACCACGGGGGAGCTACCCCAGGACGAGGAGAGGGCCAAGCTTGCCAAGCTCAGGGCTCCAAGCAACACTATTGAAGATGGCAAGCTCTACAAGCGATCCTACAACGGCACTCTCCTCCGATTCCTGCACCAGGACGAGGCCGAGGTGGCCATGGAGGAAGTTCACTGCGGTGTTTGCTCCTCACACCAGGGCCCTTTCAGTATGTCCAGGCGTCTCGTCGTCCAGGGTTTTTTCTGGCCGACGATGGCGCGGGATTGTGCAGATCTTTCCAGGAAATGTACCACATGTCAGGTGCTCCAGAAGACCCTTGGTCGGTCAGCCGTCAACTACGCCCCCGTCAGCACTGCCATTCTGTTCTCAAGGTGGGGGATTGACCTGGTCGGCCCACTACCCAGAGCTGCTGGCAACAACCGCTACATCATCGTCGCAGTCGACTACTTCACCAAGTGGGTCGAAGCGGAACCTTTGGCCAGCATCACGGGGGCTAGGTGCCAGAAGTTCATCCACAAGAACATTCTCACCCGTTTTGGCGTCCCCCAAGAGATCATATCCGACAACGGCACCCAGTTCGAAGCGGCACCCTTCTAGGAGCTCCTTCGAGAATGGGGAATAAAACACCGTTTCTCCTCCATTGCCTACCCTCAGGGCAACGTGCAGGTTGAGAACGCCAAAAGAACTATAATGGAGGGGCTGAAGAAGAAGCTACAGGACGTAGGAGGAAGTTGGGTCGATGAGCTCCCCAACATCCTGTGGTGCTATCGTACTACGCCAAGGAGGGCAACAGGTGAGACACCTTTCGCCCTGTGCTATGGCTTTGAAGCAAAGGCGCCCACGGAAGTCGCCATTCCCAGCCGACGGGTGAAACAGTATGACCCTGAGATCAACGAGGAGAACATGAGGATCGACCTCCACCTGGTCGAAGAGAGACGCGAACAAGCATTCATCCAGGCGGAGAACTACCGGCGTCAAGTGAAATCATACTATGACGCTAAGGTACGTTCCCGGGAGTTTCAAGTAGGGGACTATGTCCTCCGCCGAAGGGAAGCAAGCCAGCCGACGGAAGGGGGCAAGCTAGCCTTGAAATATGAAGGTCCCTACATCGTCAGTGCCGTGGTAAAACCCGACACCTACAAGCTTAAACGCCCAAATGGGACCAATGTACCACGAACGTGGAATGTACACCATCTGGTGAAGTTTTATCAATAATCCGAAGGAGGTGCAGTCGGCGAAGCCCTCACCCCTTGACGGATTATTGATTGAACACCACCCTCGGCCTCGAGCCACTTATGAATAAAAGTCATGTTTCCCTTGATTTTTTGGAATTCAAGTAAAAATATTAACGGGTGCCCTCATCGGCCACCTTAGAGCGAAAGGCTCAGGTATGGCCGATGTGACACTTCGCATCTGCAGCCTTAGAGCGAAAGGCTTAGGTTTGCTCCATTGTATTTTGTATCAGCGAAAGGTTTAGGCCCAACTGAAAGAGCACGTCGTACCGGTCCCTCAGAGCGAAACGCTCAGGCAGGGCCGACGATGTCCCCAGGACGATGGGCCCGCAAACGGCCCGCGTCTCGAAACGGGAAGTTCACCGCGTCGTCCACGCGCCTGATCGCAGGACGATAGGCCTGAAATCATGGCCGAGGTGACAAAATCCCCAAACTCAGGGTTGGGCAACGGCAGCCGTTGGAAACCAACCAAAAGTCTAACCCGCGTCATAAATCGGCGACGGGACCCCCCTGAGACCATGGACGTTATAAACGAAGTCCAAACCGGCCGTAGGACTATCGACCCCTTCGGCCGAAGCCTGAAAGAATGACACTCCCCGAAACAAGGAACAAAAAAAGAGGGAAGCCGACGGACCGTGCGCACTTGCCGGCCTCGAGCAACAAAAAATGAAATCCCCACAAAAATACTAAGTACATATCAGTCCGATACGAAGGCTACACTACGAATAGGTGTCACGACCGAGGCGTGCATCTACAAAATCCCAACTGACTTGGTTGGGTGAGACGAGGTTGGTCGTTCTCTTCGGCCACGAGAAGTTGAAATTCAACACAGCACATTTCCCAAAATGTGGAGAAATGAAAAGAAATGTTACTTTCATCGGCCACACTACATACAGGGCCGTTGGCAGCCCCAAGCGAAATCAACCACTAAATTTGGACACGTAGAAAAGAAAAAAAAAATCAAGTATGAAACGATAAAGGGAAAACATGCAGGCCGACAACACTGCCAAACACGTTACCTCCCCCGATTGGTTTCAGCCGATAAGGTCACTGAACTAAAAAAGCTACAACAGTTAAACACTGGCGGCAACCCTTAC